GGAAAAGGATTTTGGTATGGACTTCAGGAATCATTGCCGAACCTCGGTATCAGGTTTCCAACATATCTCAAGCTAAATGAGAATTCAAGCCACTTGTAGTTCGATACGCTTAATTTGATGCACGATTATGAAAAAATTCAAAAGTTATCCCGATATCGAATTATGAAGAGACCGGAATGCTTGAGAATAAGATTTGAGAGAGGATGTCGGAATACAGCCGAGTTTTCGACATTGATCCCACCTACATATCCTTAGACCTTAGGAATCAGGCTGTTTGTAGTTCGACTCAATTGGTTGAAAAGGAAATCTTTTATGCAAGATAACCTTTGGTTTCGGAGAAGCGACAAAATAAATTGAGTGTGAAAAAGAGGCTTGCAACCTCTTAGTCATGAGTGTGGCGCGCTTCACATCCATAATTAAGAACTTACACGGACATAATTTCCAAAGCTCTTGGTAAATTGTCACTCAGATTAGAAAATTGCTTCCGGTGAACTCGAAATTTTCCGGATGCAAAATAGGAACTGACCAATCTAAGAAAAACCCACATGCCTTCTGATAGGGGTGTGATTTGATTGTGGTGAAAGTTGTTCCTCTGCTCGCGTCCTAAGAGTTTGACACTCCTCTTTGGACTATGTCCCAGTTCGCTGCTAAGAAAAAGTTCCACGTTGTGCTACACCCTAATTGATGTCGTTCGCACCTGTGGTTTGTTTTGAGAATTCATCCTCTTGGATGCTCTCGACAAAGACTGAGATAAAAACTCATTAGCATAAAAATGTCATTCAAATGAAGGGATAATGTCTTTTACCGTGTTGACACTGAATTGTTCTCCTTGAACATTTGACGTCAACTTTATCGGGTTTGACGTGAAGCAAATAAAGCTTGTGTCTCATATTTGCAATATAATCTTCAGTGTACTTTTCTTTTGATATCGAAGCAGTAATAGATTGATGTAATATGTTGGTGGTTCTCTTGATGGTCTGAATATGCAATGACCATTTGGCAATTTAAATATGAATGGCCTTCTCGGCGGTTTGCATATGAATGGCCCTCTCGGCAGTTTGAATATAAATGGCCCTCTCGGCAGTTTGAATATAAATGGCCCTCTCGGCAATTTAAATATAAATGGCCCTCTCGGCAATTTAAATATGAATGACCTTCTTGGCAATTTAATATGCAATGGCCCTCTCGGCATTTTGAATATGAATGGCCCTCTTAGGGTTTTGAACATGATGGCCCTCTCGGCGGTTTAAATATGCAATGGCCCTCTTGGCAATTTAAATATAAATGGCCCTCTCGGCAATTTAAATATGAATGGCCTTCTTGGCAATTTAATATGCAATGGCCCTTTCGGCATTTTGAATATGAATGGCCCTCTTGGGGTTTTGAACATGATGGCCCTCTCGGCGGTTTGAATATGCAATGGGCCCTCTTGGCGGTTTGAATATGAATGGCCTTCTTGGCAATTTTAATATGAATGGCCTTCTCGGCAACTTGAATATGAATGGCCCTCTCGGCAATTTGAATATGAATGGCCTTCTCGGCAATTTGAATATGAATGGCCTTCTCGGCAACTTGAATATGAATGGCCTTCTCGGCAACGTTGAAATATGAATGGCCCTCTTGGGGGTTTTGAACATGATGGCCCTCTCGGCGGTTTGAATATGAAATGGCCTTCTCGGCAACTTGAATATGAATGGCCTTCTCGGCAACTTGAATATGAATGGCCCTCTCGGCAATTTGAATATGAATGGCCTTCTCGGCAATTTGAATATGAATGGCCTTCTCGGCAACTTGAATATGAATGGCCTTCTCGGCAACTTGAATATGAATGGCCCTCTTGGGGTTTTGAACATGATGGCCCTCTCGGCGGTTTGAATATGAAATGGCCCTCTTGGCGGTTTGAATATGAATGGCCTTCTTGGCAATTTTAATATGAATGGCCTTCTCGGCAACTTGAATATGAATGGCCCTCTCGGCAATTTGAATATGAATGGCCTTCTCGGCAATTTGAATATGAATGGCCTTCTCGGCAACTTGAATATGAATGGCCTTCTCGGCAACTTGAATATGAATGGCCCTCTTGGGGTTTTGAACATGATGGCCCTCTCGGCGGTTTGAATATGAATGGCCTTCTCGGCAACTTGAATATGAATGGCCTTCTCGGCAACTTGAATATGAAT